TGTGTGTGTGTGTGTGTGTGTGTGTGTGTGTGTGTGTGTGTGTGTGTGTCTGTGTGTGTACTATGTCTGGGCCAGCTGAAGCTCCTCCAATCCGTGTTTGCCCAGGTGATATCTGGCCAAGTCTTTCCTGGTCACCAGTCCAACCACCTGTAGAGAGTCACAGATCAAATGTGACTTTAGAGCATCATCATCATCATCATCATCATCATCATCATCATCATCATCATGGCAGTCAGCAACAATTGAATGTTGTGAAGGCTTAAATCACAGCAGGAAATGAAGTAAAGAGACCATGTGGGACAGACAGAGAATCTTACCCTGTTCTCATCATCCACCACCACCAGGTGTCGGAGTCCCAGCGCTCTGAACAGCTTAAACACACGAGGCAGAGAAGTGTCCTGCAAACAAGCCGCGTCATTTTAGTTCAGATCATTCACTTATACACAACAATTACACAAACCTCTCATAAAGACTTTGTGTTTGTGGAACACAAAGAACACACGAGTTGATGAATCCCTCAATAACTACAAAGATGAACAAGAGAACAGTGAAACCTTGATACCCAGTTTCCTTAAAAGTAAATGTTTTGGACGTACAAGGTTTCAGCCCGATAGCCACAATGTGCAAGTTAAGAACTGGGTCAAATCTGTGCTTTTAATATGTCTGTGTGTGTGTGTGTGTGTGCGCGCATTACCTGCGGTACTGTGTAAGGCGTTGCGTTCATGAACTCATTGAGGTCCATCATACACTCCCTCTCGTCCTGGGACACGTGGATGCTCTGGATCGGGGGAAAGCGGGGATAGGCGTCTCTGAAGTCCTTCAGCTGGAGCTTCCTCAGAGTCAGCCGGGACCGGGCCAGCTCCACAAACACCTGGCGGGACAGAGAGGCAGCAAACCGGGACCCGATTCGATTTAAATCATCGTCACAATGAAGAATTCATCTGCAAAATGCTGTCAACCTCTTTTTTCCTGATGTTACCTTGTGCTTGAGAAGAACAATGAGCTGAGAGCGGAGGATGAGGCCGCAGAGCTTCGCTGGCTGAACGGGAGAGGAGAGCAAAAGTAATTATCCCAGTTTGACTTCTCACATCCCCCAGAGAACAGGAACTGGACTACTTCCACTCAACAGTGGCAGCAATACAGGAAACAAGTGGGCAATAGCAGCAGTCATAACTTCCTGAAACAAGATCCTTACACCTGCATTGCATTCTGGTCTATAATTAGAATCTTTTTCAAAAGATCTCTCAGCTGAACAACTGCAGATCAAAACAAATGGCATCTTAAAGAGACACACCGAAACTACATTTACTGTTGATGTTTTCCACTGATCTCTGCACTCGACAAGCCTGAACTTATTCCACCGCCAACCAGCCATGTTGCAGTTTACCTCTTCACCACCGGCGCCCTGTGTGACGACCGGGAAGCCGTTGTGATTGGTGGACGTGTTGCTCAGGACGTCCACGATGGTTCCCACCTTCTCTATCCGGTTCAAGCAGGTGACCGGAGAACTCATCACCTCTCTGGAAGAGGGGGAGACAGTCAGTCGAGCTATATTCATACAGCAGCTTTTCAAACACAATGAATGCGATTCAACGTGCTTTACAAATGTTTGACCGCATCAAAACAAGATGAAGATGAAGAGAAGATGAAGAGACTAACGAGCACTAAATTAAGTTAGTAAATAATGGATAAATTAATTAATTAATGACTGAATAAAAAAAATCCAGTCAACATGGCTCTCATGAACACAGAGGACCTCACCTGGCGGTCAACCAGTGGGAGGTGGCCGGAGCATCCCAGTGCAGGAAGGGAACGCTCTGCAGCTTGATGTGGATGTCATACAGACCCTGGAGCAGCAAGAGAACAATCAGACAGACTGTCCCAACAGTTTACACTTCACATTTATCTTAGTGTTATACAGTCGTTAGGGTTATTATACTAGCAAGCTAAACACTGCACTGTTTTGTACAACGGGTCACCTGATTACATGTCGATCAAACTTAGTATTTAGAATGACAATGCTGATTAAATCTGTCACTTTTCTAGCGTGAATGAGATAAATACTCCTGCTGAGAATCAGTGCACTAGGATTTGGGACTATACCGTTTGTGTCCTCTGCACATGTAAAGCTGTGGGACATTTGATCACTTAGTTGGCTCTTTTACTCACCTCTACAAAATAGTCTCCTACTATCTTGGCTGTCATGAGGACGAGCATGATGGGAAGACCGTATGTGACGTTTCCTGTCGCCTCCACCATGATGACAGTCAAACTGAGAGTCATCCTCACGATGCCACCTGTGAAGATCAGTGCACAATTACTGCTACTAAACATTCATCTTGTATCTGAATCTGTATCTAACAGAAGAGACGTTTCAATACGGATTATTTAACAAGACAATTCCTCAGATCTCAACAGGTTGTGTCACTGATATTGGTCCTAAAGATATGTTCAATTTCTTATTTCCTGTTCATCACTAAGCAAAACAAATCAACAACAAGGTGAAGCTTCACGTTACTCACCTAACTGAGCTGCAGCTCCAATCAGGGCATATTTACCAGGGTCAGTCCAGATCTAACGAAACACACAAAGTCTGGACGTGAGACAGAAACAATGAACTGTTTCAAACATGGTCTCATTGAGGTAATGAAATCAAAGTCTTTGGACTTTAATTCAACCATAATATGGTCTGTTTTCAATAAGTCATGTTGTCCTCATCCTACAGAGTGAAGCGTAACACACACACACACGCACTAACCGAGCCGGTGGAGGTGATGGAGGCCAGCAGGATTCCAAACAATCTGCCCCAGGCTGCTCCTATAAGCAGAGACGGGATGAAGACTCCAGCAGACACCGCCAGGCCGTAGGTCCAACACGCCAGGAAGAAGTAAGTCAAAGTGAACAAACCCAGAGTCAAAGGGTTGTAGGTTCCTTTAAGAAAGAGAGGGATGAGAGACGACATGAGTAATTGTGCAAAATGAAAAGGGAGAAGAAATGGCTGGTGCACGTTTTTTTTTTTTTTTTTTTTACAAACGTTACCCTCACGAACAGCTTTACCTGGCTGGTTGTGGAAGAGACTACGAACACTTTTCTCTGGAGTGTTGAAGAAGGCCGTTGCCATCGAGTTGTACTCTCCATCTGCACAGAACAACTGAGAGATAGAGACAGAAAATGACTCAACGAGAGAAGGAAGAGGAGACAAAAAGTGTTTTTGTGTTCTTGTTGAAGCTGTTTCTTGACCTGATGGTGTTAGATGTTAAGGTCAAAGGATGACCAAAGTAGATACTGTTGATCCTAAAGGGGACATGTGGATGTCTGCACCAAATTTCATGGCGAACCATCAAATAGTTGTTGAGACGTTTCACTAAAAATCACCAAAGTCAGTGGCGTTCGTCCTCTGGTGTGTTGTACTCTTCTTAGATCCTTTGGCAGTATCGTTCTCACGACATTGTTGGTGGTAAAGCTTATTGAACCAAAATAGGAAGCACCAAGATTCACTATGACAAGTGTTCATCTTATCTCAATCTGCACTTGTGTGTATAACTTGCTGAGTCATGCACATCATATTGTCCATTTCAAAGCCGCAATAAGTAACTGTGCTTGTGACACCATGTGACTGTGACTTCCCTTATTTAAGCTTTATTACATGACATAGGTGATATTTGACAGTGTGTGTACCTGCAGTGGGTACTCCTCAGTGTGTTCAGGCCCCAGAGGTTGACAGTCATTAGAGAAGTAGATCATGGTGAATGAAACAGTCGCAGTCACAGCAGCAACCAGCATGGCCTCAATCACTTGTAAAGCAGGGCGATGAACATACCTGTAACACACACACACACACACACACACACACACACACACACTTTCAAATCCTACACATAATAACTTTTATTTCCCAGAAAACTCCAAAATGGCGACACGTTGTCGTCCTGTGTGGACTTTCCCCGGAGACAAGGAAACTTAAGGTGCAACAAAAACAGCCGAGTGGAAAACAAACGCTTCATTGCCTAATCTGACTTTTCTTTTGAGCCTCCAGGCGTCACGGCGCTATGCATGCCAAGTACAAACCAATCACAAGATGTGACACAAATACAGACCGTTTATACAGAGTGTTTTTAGAAGCAAGACTACCCGCACACTGAATGTGAAAATACCAGATATCAGGAGATTACAGTCATTTCATTCATTGCCAGTTATGCTGAACAAAGTTACACAAACATTTTTTATTTTTTTCCTCTCACCCGTCTACTTGTTTGCACACATCTGACTCAACACTTAACATATTTATGAAACTTCACTAGATTTGTTTCAGTGTGTTGGTCGCTTGTCAAACATCGAGTACTCAGCCCGAGTACATAAATCATTTAGATATCTTCAACTACACAATTAATATTCATACTATTCACAAGGCTATTGATCATAGACGGTACCTCATCATGCAAACCCAGTGGATCCATATCTTTGACCCTTTAGGTTTCATCTCTAGTGGGGAAATCACTGTAAATATACATTCTAACAGCAAACCAAGAGTAGGATATCTTATTGTTATTATAATAGTGCACTCTGTAGTTTATCTTTATCATCTTTTCATTGATAATTGATACTATTCATTACAACACAATCTGCAGCGCTTTTTTTTTTTTT